AGCAGACAAGCTGGTTTGCCAGCTTAACAGTTCTGCAGCGCTGTTAACGGGCATAACAGTTTTGCTTAAAAGTACGCACACGCATATGCGCTGAAGCTAATTATACATGACTGAAATATAATGTTAAAGAAATACAGTTTATACCTACTACAAGGTAAAACTTGTTTAAACACGTTTATTATGAATACTTGCTGTTAATAACAGCTTAGTAATTATTATTGGAAAATGTTGTGCACACTCTTAACAGCTTCAATCAACATAAAACTGTTAGTTTAATGTGTTTTAATGCAATTGTTCTATATTTATTTAATATTTATTCACACAAAGCTGTGGAAACACGAAGAAATATTTATTTGCTGGAAAATTTCTCTGCGCAGCAAAACTTAAAGTTTCAACAAAACTAAGTTGCCCTCAGGTCACAACGAAGTCTCGGAAGTAATCCCCTGGAATGCTGTAACCACAATTTTGATTAGCTCAGGACACGAAGCTGCAACTGCTGACCGCCCCGACCGCCCGCCCGCCTGCATTGCATTTAATTGGCACAGTCAAGCCAAGACGAGCGCCGGGTAACATTAACCGGCAATCTTCCAGCTGCATGCAACACCCAAAGCCAACCGAACCGAGTCCCGAGCCCTTATGCGCCCCTTAATTGACGGTTTCAAATGTTTGGCTCCGGCTGCGCTGTTATCTAGCCTTTTGTCTTATACAGCTGCTGCTCCTGCAGCAGGACTCGACCGCAAGGACAGTAGCTACAACACCTGATAAGCTGTTTGCTTTTTGTTTCTTTCATCTTGTCTTTTCAACCTGCCTTTATCAGTGCCAAATGCTACAGAATATCAGTTTCAGTCGGCCGTAAACGACTGGCGAATGCCCTGTACCTAGCAATCGCTAACATCATTCAAACACTCTTCCACACATAGCACGACGGTACACAGTGGCTGTGCTTCTTCTTCTTGAAGAACTTCGGTGTATATTGTCCGATCTGGTTGAAATTCGCATTGCATTAAAACGGTGTTCGAACGTTGCCTAGGCTAAACTTTCAATAGAGTTTCTTATACTTCTGAAATGATCACATTTGTGTACGTACGTACCTACCTGTTATGCTTCTAGCTAAGCTCTAATATATGGTAAAAACAAATAAGAGGTTCTAGTCGGAAGCTCCCGACGGACATGGCTAGATCGACTCGGCTATTGATGCTGATCAGGAATATATATACTTTATGGGGTCGGAGATGCTTCCTTCTGCCTGTTACATACATTTGGCTTTCGCACAAATACAATATACCCTTATACCCATTTTTAATGGGTTCAGGGTATAAAAAACATCGATTTTTATCAAAGTCTAGATATTGAAGATATAGATATAAAAAATCTGATCTATTCTTGTACTTCGAGCATCTACGCTCAAAATTCGAAATCTCTAACCCTTAAGGTCTATCAGATTTGGAAGGATCGCTGAGAAGTATGAATTCAACATTTGTCTCTAGCTCCTAGAAGCTTCGAGGTATGGTAAAACGAAGAAATATCAATTTTTGAATCAATTGAGCCTGGTTTTTGAAGGTCTCTAAGGTCTCTGAAATGAATGCGTTCAAACGTACGAACTCACAGACGGACATAGATTGATTTGTCTATTAATGATCATCAAAAATATACATATATACTCTATTTGGTCGAAGAAGCCTACTCCTCTTTCTGGATGTGAAGGTATTGCAACACTTTAAGCCATTTTCTGTGGATACAGCGAATTAAAAGATGCCAAATTCTGGACACAGCTGTGTTTACATACATATATGCACATATGAATGTACATTTGTGCATGTACATATATGTAAACCTAATGATGACAACTGTTACCACTGACAGCTTATTACATAACTTCACAAGGCTCTTGTGTAATTTGCAGTTCAATTACCCCGCTAATACGCTGGCCCACAGCGTCTCAGCGGTGTTCCCCGCCCCACTTCCCTACCCATGACTTGGCATGCAACTCGAATTCGTTAATTATTTTGACAGTTGGATACGTTGACAAGGGACAACAACAACGGCAGCTGATAGTTTAGAAACTGCATGCCGACTATTAAATACCCTTATTCAAGATGCGACTATGTAGAAAATATATTGGAATGGCGAAATTTTCACTTTTAGTTGGAAGTGCCTTCTACTTGCCTCTGAGTAAAATTAATAATAATAATGATAATGATAATGATAATGATAATGATAATGATAATGATAATGATAATGATAATGATAATGATAATGATAATGATAATGATAATGATAATGATAATGATAATGATAATGATAATGATAATGATAATGATAATGATAATGATAATGATAATGATAATGATAATGATAATGATAATGATAATGATAATGATAATGATAATGATAATGATAATGATAATGATAATGATAATGATAATGATAATGATAATGATAATGATAATGATAATGATAATGATAATGATAATGATAATGATAATGATAATGATAATGATAATGATAATGATAATGATAATGATAATGATAATGATAATGATAATGATAATGATAATGAAATTGATAATGATAATAATAATAATAATAATAATAATAATAATAATAATAATATTAATAAGAATAATATTAATATTAATAATTAGTTAATATAAATAGTAATAATAATATTATTAATAATAATAATATATATAAATAATATCCAAAATTAAAATTACCAACAAAAATGATAAGAAAACATACCTAAAAACTGGTAGCTGACATGTTCGTTGACAATGTTGATAGACCCTTAAATGTAGATGCTTGATGTATTTGGGATGAGCTGGCCAATTTCGAAGGGGGCCACATGAAACTTGCATGAGTCGTGCCGTCGAATTGTCCGCTTGTTGTAACTGTAATTTGTGTGACAGTCGTCGGCGCACAGTCATTTTGGGCAGCCACTGATTATGCTAGCCAAATGGACATGTCAAATTGCGGCAAGAGAAGTTTCGGGGCAAGATGACGTGCCCCAAATAGGGCGAAGTCCCACCCACATTGCAGGCACATGGTTGGTGAATTAGTTTTGGGTGTATTTTATGTATCAACATTCAACTTGGATTATTTATTGGGCTTACGAGCTATTTACACAGTACACGTTATGTTGCTGGGCAGCGGCATCAGCAGCTCCATGAGCAGCCAGCCCAGAGGAAAGGCGTAGGCGAGCAGCGTGACGAGCAGGAGGAGCAGCCGCCTCCGCCGATGCCAACACTATATCATTGTGGCATCCTTGACGACATCCTTGCCATCGCTGGCAATGTTATTCAAAAAGTCGCGTCGCACAGCGCTCCAATTGGGCGCCGCATGATCCTTGAGCAGCGTCCAGTTGGGCGAATGGACCTCGGGCGACAGCCAATTGAAGTCGGCGACATCCGTGTAGTTATTCTGAGATTTGTTCAAGCCGGACTGTTCATAGTCTGCCTCCAGTTCTGCATAGTCATAGTTGTAGACATCAATCTCAATTTCACGACAATCCTCGATAATGGCGCGGCAGGTGACATGCAAATAGATTCGTGTCGCCTGGGATGAGTGCAGACGCAGCTGCTGGCAGGCAATTGCGACGGTGCAGCGCTCCAGTTGCTCGGCGAAGAAGGAACGGGCCACGGGACCGCAGAGCAGGGTGCACTGACTGGCATTGGATACCTGCACGGAGCCGGCATGACCCTGCAGCTCCACCAGGCACTTGTGCACATTGGAAATGGTTATGTCCTGGCCGTTCACATGCTCGGCGCGCAGCACAATGTGCGCATTGCGCTGATTGGAAATTGTCCAGGTGAAGGCGCTGCTGGTGCCGCCCGTCTTTGGTGTCTTCTCCGGTGCATCCACCTTGCAGAGATCAAGGGGCAGCTTATGCTTAACCGCCGACTTCTTGCCGCTAAAACCGAACTTTTTTTTGGGCATTAGACGCTGGCGCGCCTCATCACAGGCGCTGGTCAACGAATTGAGTGCATTCTGACAGGATTTGATCTTATAGTCCGACAGAAACATGGTCGATACGGTCAAATAACGCTGCAATTCCTGTATTTGCAGTGTAATGTCCGCGAACAACTTGCTGAGATCCGGCAGCGGCGCATCCCCGCTGTCCAACTGCATGGCGCCGATGCGCTGCTCTATGTCGTAGGCGCGCTGGCCGAAGGATTGGGCAAAGTAGTCGACGCCCTCGTTCTGTGCGCACTCCTTGCTGCGCTGCTCCAGCTTAACGTCCAAATAGTTTTGGCGATCCTTGTTGCGTTTGTTCAAGCGATCCAGCATGAAATCCTTGCGTGCAACGGCATCCACAATGTCCATGCTGTCCTCATGCTGTTTACTCGTTGGCTCCATTTTTCAATATTTTTGACTTGCAATATATTTAGTTCAACTGCAAGAGAAGTGTTAAAAATCAATGCATGCTAAAGATGGAGTGCTCCGTGCAGGTGTGTGTATGTGTGCGTATGTTTGAGCGTGTGTGTGCGTGTGTGTCATCGTTACCGTTGCCGTTACCGTTGTCTAAGCCGCAGAAACGAGAGCCCGTCTGCGCGCAGCTGCAGCGAAATTTTGTTAAAATCCGCACACAATTATATTGCTGCTCAATTCTGTCAATTCTGGCTATTGCAAAATAATGAAAATTTGCAACTTTTTCACTTTCACAGACGCTGGCAGCGCAGCACAGCCAAAGGAAAAGTCCAATAAACAAAAAGCTAACTCACTTTGGCACACTACACACTTACACACTCCCACCATGCGGGGCGGCCAACTTGTTTGAAATATGCCACTCAGCCGTCAACGCAGTTTACTGTGAATGGCAAAACGATGTAGAGGAAGCTGCTGCGCGTTTTGTGGAAGTTGGTTTGAAAATAATTTGTATTTTCAGTTGTCGATTGTTTTTTGTTTGAATTACCTGAGATGTCAAACTAAACTTTTGTTTTCACAAACTGCGTAGGTCATGACTTTTCTCCTTATGTTTCAGTGTAAAGCTGAGTTAAGTTAATTGGAGAAAATGCTGTTCAAAACAGCTTCCACTGTACATTCAAGCTTTTTTATTAATTAACAAATTCACTTAAAACTAAGTACTATTGTATAAGATGTTGTGGTAAAACTTTTGTATATGATTTCTAAGATTTTGTATTAAAAGATGATGCTTGAGATTTAAGATTTAAAGACCCTTTTGCGTTTCTCAACAGACTCTAAAGTTTGAGCAGACGCAGGCTTTTGGGGGTTCGTTCTCTCCATCAGACATTGATCCGAGGCAATTCATTGCACTTGGTACACATTAGCTGGCAGGCATGTCGTGTCTCCTCATATGCGCCCTGCACCTCGAGAGCTGGGCAAAGGTTTCCGGACAGTGGCTGCACTTGTAGCGCAGCAATTCGCTTTTGTTGCTGTTGTGCGCATTGAAATGCCGCATAAAGCTGCAATGCTTGAAGAAGACTCGCGGACAGTGTGGACACTGGAGCGACACGGCGTGCGTGCGCATATGGAGCAGATAGTGTGCATACTGATCGTAGGCATTCGGGCAATGTGGACACTTGTAGGGACATCTGTCCTTGTGGCCACGCATATGGGCTCTGTAGTTTGCGATGTGGGCAAAGCTAATCGGACATTGTTGGCACTTGTACGGCAGATTGTCCGTATGGATGCGCAGATGTATCTGGAGTTCGTAGCGCATCTCGAAGTGGCGCGGGCAGTAGGGGCACTGATTGCTCTGCTTGCCACTGTTATTACTCCTATATGATGGCAAATACATGTATTGAGTAGAGTTTTTGGATAGTTTCAGTTTGCGCTTACTTTATGCCTGGCGCTCCTTTCTGCTTGTGCCGCTGCTTTACGCTGCCCCGACTCTGACATTTTGTGGGCCTGTCCAGCTCTACCTGGATAGGTCCTATGTCAATTTCAGCATAGTCGTCCTCTGTTTTGATTTCCTTCTTTCCTACAGTTTTGGCCAGCATCGTCTCGGCGGAATGCCAATCAACACTTACGTCCTCCTCTTTTATATGCTCTACTTTTATGTATTTCAGCTCCAAATTCTCGCTCATTGTAGACAATGCAGTGCATTAAAACATAAAGTTAACATAAATTATTCTAGAATCCAATTTTAATCAATTGCGTGTAAACACTTCGTTCACAGCAACAGCTGCTTAAGGGCTGCCAACTCGGCAAAAAGAGCTTCGTGCCCAAACGCAAAAGCACGAAAAGGCACGAAAAAGTCCGTCAAGGCACGAGAAAGCCTTGCAAGGCACGGAGAGTCCTGGAAAGCAACAATTTAGCCAGTAAAATATCTAATGCGCCAAATATTAAGCAATATCTGAATATCACTGTTTTTTGAACTAAGCTTTTTTCAGACATCGAGAGATTTGGAGGCATCTCTGTACTAAATACCTAGAGATTTCTGTTGTGAGGCCCCAATTGATATTTTTATGCCTCTTACTTGGTTGCTGTTGCTGCAATATGTGGTCCGTTGACGTTGTCAACAATTATAAAGGCATCCAATTCTATCTTTAAGTACGGTCCGATGTCCATCTCTGTTAGAATAGCTTCATCACGATTCTCGAAGACAACTACATTTGGCTTCTTATTATGCGCGTCCTTCTCCTCCAATAGTACATATTTTCGCTCTTGCAAATGTAATATTTTTAATTAATTTAGCTTAAATAAACTTCATATAAACAAATTTCACTATAAGTCGTAGAAAAAAATTCGCATACAGCAACAGATGTTAAATGGCTGCCAACTTAGCTGAAAGTTTTGTAAGCGACAGAGCAAGAAGAAGAAAATGCTAAGTGCGCGCCAAAGTGAGTAATTCAAATATTCGCTTTAAGCACATATTTAAATTTCAAATAGAAGTGTTTAGTATATAACTAAATATAATTTGAGTGTAGCCTAATTCAATTATTTATGTATATTAATACTTATATATTAACATACACTTTTTAAAATTAATATAAGCTAACGAGCGACTGAGTAACATCCCGCAATTAAATTGTATAATTATTAATACTATTATTAATGGTCTAACTATTTAAGAAACAAATGCCATAGCATTGTAGATTTCAACTAAAATTTCATTTCATATGCTCACGCATATGCGCCTTGCAGTAAGAGTTTTGGGTAAAGGTTTTCGGACAGTGTGGACACTTGTACGGCCGCTCTCCAGTATGGGTGCACAGATGCACCTTGAGATTGTAGGCTTTCAGAAAGGAGCGCGGACAGTGGGGGCACTTCAGTGGTCGTTCGTTGGCATGGCCACGTAGATGGGCATTGAAATGCGAGTTCTGCGCAAAGGTCTTGGCACAATGCGGACACACATACGGACGCTCGCCCGTGTGGCTGCGCAGATGCTTCTTCAGATCGTGGCTGACCTTAAAGCCCTTGGTGCAATAGGTGCATTGATAGGGCCGTTCGCCGGTGTGTCCACGTACGTGCACAATGAAATGTGAGTTTTGTGCAAAGGTTTTGGGACAATGCGGACACCTGTACGGCAGATCGCTGGCAACTTCCATGCCATGACTCTGCAGGTGCTTCTTGCGATTCGAGTTGTTGGCAAATGTGCGCGGACAATGGGCGCACTTATATGGCCGTTCGCCGGAATGTTGTCGTATGTGTATCTTCAGGCCCGAGCTCTGGATAAATGTGCGCGTGCAGTGCGGGCATTTGTACGGCCGCTCACCCGTATGGCCGCGCATGTGCACCGTCAGGTTGTACGACTGGGTGAAAGTCTTTGAGCAATGCTCGCATTTATACGGCCGATTGCCTGTCGTCTGCCTGCTTGAGTGTGTGTAGCATCTGTTGAATATAGGGTATGTTAAGCTTGACTAACAAAACTTTAGTATGGGATACTCACTTTTCGTGCAGGCGCAGCTCTTTTATGTCCGTGAATGCCTTGCTGCAAACTTTGCATTTATAGCAACGCTTTGAGCGCACGGTTGCTAAAGTCTGTTCCTCCGGCGGCCTGCTCTCATCCGGTTCTATTTTGATGGGGGCCAGCACAATGTTGCTCTCAGCCAAATCATTTTTACTATCAGACTTATCTAATGCACTGTAGTCCGCTGTAGAACCGCTATCCTCCGTTCCGGGCTCCACTTTTATGCGGTCGGCAGCTATGAGCTCTGGCGTTTCGACTGTTTGGCTGATAGACGGATTAGCTTTGGCCTCGACTTGGGCTTCTTTCGGAAGGGTTTCACTTGACTCCGCCCGTTCTTTTTTGATACAGCTTACGTCTATGATTTCGTTATGCGCATTGTCTTTGTGGCGTTTTAAGCCAGAGCCTAGTTTGTTGCGATAGTTTTGCGAAATCTTAGCTCTATGAATATCTGAGTGCTTCTGCAGATCGTTTTCCGTCAGAAAGCTCTGCGGGCAATATGGGCATCTGAATGGCAGCTCGTCCGTACGCTCGCTGTGCGTATACGAGTGGTTCAGCAAATCGCTCCTCTTCATAAAGCCACGTGGACAGTATCGGCATCTGAATGGAAACTCGCCCGTATGCTCACAGACATGCGCTTTAAAGTTCGATTTGTGTGCAAAGCTGTTCGGGCAGTGTGGACACTTGTAGGGCAGCTTATCGCTATGAATCTGCAGATGAATTTCCAGCTCGAAGCTCTTCGTAAAGCCACGCGGACACTGCGGGCACTGCAGTATACCCTTGCTCGTGTGTGTGCAATTTCTGGGGCACAGTGGACATTTGAATGCATTTTTATCGATGTGCGTGCGTCGATGCTTCTTGAGATCGCCGTATTTCAGGAAACCCTGCGGACAGTCCGGGCACTGGTGCGGAAATTTGCCAGTATGTCCGTACATGTGCGTGGTGTAAATCGATTTATGGGAAAAACTGCTCGGACAATAGACGCACTTGTAGGGCAATTTATCTGTGTGGATCTGCAGGTGTATTGTGAGTTCGTCGCTTCTTTCGAAGTGCCTTGGACAGTGCGGGCACTGATGGGGTCCCTTGGGCAGTCTGTAATCCCTGCGTGCAAGCAAACATTGTATTAGAACATTATTACCAATTCTCCCAACGTGCATATTGAATCAATTATATATCGCTTACTCCAGTGTTACGGCAGGTCTCTGCTTTTTTCGCCTATCCCTTGCGTTGCCGGCAGCTGCCTGTCCCTGACACACTGCAGTCGCATCCGGGTCTATTTTGATGGGTCCTATGTCCATCTCCGTAAAATTGCTTTCAGTTTTAAGCTGGGCACAGCTGGCGTCCTCCGAGACCGTATCCATTGGCAGCGTCTCCTGTTCTTGCTCCTCCTGCTTGATTTTCACACAGCTCACGTCCATTATGGCGCCCACGCACGACAAAATCGCAACCAGTGCAAAAAGTAAGTGAATTTGTACAATAAAAAAAAAAAATTACCGAAAATAGCGTAAACATAAACAAATTCACGCACAGCAACAGCTGTTTGAGGGCTGCCAACCTGCTCGAAACGTTTCACATTGCAATAACAGCGTAGACGATGGCACACAATTGCCATATAATTTTTATTAATTCAACTATGTTAATAATATGTGCACACCAAATTTGTAATGCTAAAAGCAATTTTTGTGCCAAATCAAGACAATTTTATGGATAAAATTAAATAAAATATTTATAGATACACATAAACAACTCACTATCAGCAGCAGCTGTTAAAGCGCAGCCACTTTAAATGTTCTGTTAACATGGCATTTACAGCATACAAGAAGCAGCATAATTGCGCCTTAAAAATATATATTTAAAATCAGCAGCAGCTGTTAAAGCGCTGCCACTTTAAATGTTCTGTTAACATTTGCGCCTTTAAAATATATTTAAAATATGTGGGCTAACAGTTTTAAATACTTAAAGAATTTTTTGTTTTTAATTAATATAAATTAATTAGTATACTCTCATTAAATACATATCATTTTTAATTTTTATTTTTGTAATTTCGCTTAAAGATGTTAAAATAAAATTGTCTGTAATCTTTTGTACTAATAAAATATATTTTTTTCTTTTTGAACCAATTTTTCTACTCTTAAAGACTTTAGTTAAGCCCCAACCAGTACTGAGTACATCTTTATATAATTTTCAGCAAAAATTGCCCATCTACTCCCCTTTGCATTGAAATAAAACACAGAATTTTGTCGAAGCGCTCATTTAATAAACGTGTATTTTGTTTGACTGTGTAGTGTGTAGTGTATTGTGTATTGTGTACTGCTTTCTGGCTTACATTAAGATTGAACATATTTACACTTGATTATAATTAAACATAAGCATTTGTTTATGTTAAATATGTAAGTGTGCATTTACGTGTGCCGCCCTATACATGCAACTAATTAGCAAAACATTTGTACTTCAAACTGATTTGTTATTGGTTTTTGTTTAAGATTGTTTTTCTTTTTGTTTTTTTTGTTAGCAACATACAACACTTAACGACTAAAAATATTAAATACATCCAGCTTTTCGTTTTTCCACTTAAGTATTTGGTTACAGTTTACGATATTTTTGTGTAAGGCACATGACACATTCCTGAATATGATGTGCGTTTATATATGTATATAGAAATTTATGAGTTAGGAATCACTATGTATAAGCTACATATGGTTTATTGGTTGCTACTAAATGAATTTGAATTTGTGCGCAAATCACACAATTTTGCACATCGAAAAATCGGCTTAGTTTCAAATGTCACGCTACAAAGATTTTTTTTTTAGTTCGTTTCTGTTTTTGTTTGTTTCTGTTTTGTTTAGGAATCGTCAACTATTCCAAATGTTTACAATTAATGCATATGACCAGCAAATGACTAAAATCGCGTTGCGATTAGACCAAATAAATGTGTGCAATGGGCGTAGAATTTTCTGCGGAATTCGTACTTCATACGGCGGCCAACTTATATAGATCATGAGAGTTCGCCAATTGGGGCATTCTGCAGCCACAGATCGTGTATGAAGTTGTACAGATTATCGCTGACGGCCACCTGAAGCATGGGGAAGCATGGCAAATAGAATGAAGTAAATTAGTAAAGGGAATTAGAATTGATTTAAGTTGTTCGACCTTGTACGGCGTTGGGTTGAGCGTGCGCTTGTGATCATTGCGAAGCGTCTTCAGCGAGATTTGCACCTTCTCGCGCACCTGCTCCAGCGTGGGCAGCAGCTGGCATATTTTGCCCGCCTTCCAGTAGATCTTGTAGAGCGACTCAACGTGCGAGGGTATGACATAGGCGCGTTTCGACTCCTGAAACGGATGACGGCACAACACCTTCTGGCCAACAGCCGGCGGCAGTTCCGAATCCTTTTGCAGCAGATCAATCAGAGCATGCCCATCGGCGCTATACAAACGATAGGCATTCTTGTTGCCCGGCATGGTGACCTTCTCCACATCCTGACTGAGCTTAATGCGCGCCTGGCCGTTAATCTCCACTAGCTTGTAGACACAGCCCAGGGCCGGCTGTCGCTGGCAGGTAACTGTAACACAAATTCTTTTATTATTATTTCTTTTTAGTTTTGCATATTTATTTTAGTTACCCAAGTGAGTGCCAATGCCAAAGCAGTCGATCTTGTGGCCCTGCTCATTCAAGCTGAGTATGGTATCCTCGTTGATGTCATTGGAGGCGACAATGGTCAGCTTATTGAACCAGGGCACCTTGAAACGTTCCGCCACCTTCTCGAAGGCCTCGCGCGCCAGGCACGACAAATAGGCCAAATCGCCGGAGTCAATGCGTATGCCTAGCG